ACATGAGGCTGAGGAAAGGAAGACAGCATTTAATAGCAGTATATTTTCTGCATTCTAGCCCAAAATCAATGCTTTACTGTCAAGTGCATTTCTCTCTGACAAAAATGCATTATTAAGCTTCATAGCAAATTTAGTACACAGGGCCCAGAATTCCTACCTTACACATACAAATACTATATATTTGCCAAGTAGCAATAGCTAATTTCTTATGTGGCAAAAACACTTTCTAAGTTTATAATATTGTCTAATAATTAATCTTGGCTTTGTATCTTTGTCTTCTTTTCAAGATTCTCCACAGCATCTTCTTTTTAGGGACCATTCATAAGGACAGTCTCACTCCCGAAGACATTATACCTGAAAAGATTGCTGAGATTAGACAGGAATTTCCAGAACCATTTAAGAAATACAAGAGTCATCTACCTAAGCGGACACCTTTCTCAATACTGTTAGACATAGTAAGAATCATATTAGGTTATGCTTTTTTTGTTTTTGTGAATTTTTTTGTGAATTATAAGTATTTTTATTTATCAAATATGTCCTCAAAAAGTAAAATTTACTGCAGCAATCATGAATAAATATATTGCAAATACATTTTTACTTGTGTAAATAGTATTCTTATTTTACTGTTTTTAGATGCAGCTTACATATGACACAAAAGACAAAGTACTGAAGGAGCTTTGCATTCTCATGGACAAGCTGAAATTCCCTTATCCTCTGGACAGACCAGCAAACAAAAACCAGCGCTACTACACACTGGAGTCCACCGTCATTTGCGTGTGCTCGAATAGCCAACGCACATCAGATGAATATTTTGGTGCTTCTCTGGGTTGCAGGACAGGAGAGGCCAAAAGAATTATGATATATTCATCGTGTATAAATACATGGCACGAGCATGTGTCATATGCAGTAATGTCATTCAAACATCAGCCAGAGGGTGACAGCTTGCAATTTCATGAGTCTCTGCGATGCCAGGCATACTTCAGGGATTGGAAAGACAACACTTACAAGAAAAGACAGCCATGCATGAACTGTAAACGGCTTTTCAGTCTGTCAGCAGGTACAGAACAGGAAGATTATCCTTATGGCAATTGTGCAGAGACCGAGTGCTTGAGCAAACTCCTGTTCAATGATCAGTTCATGCGAGAGAATATCAAAATCAGTCATTTTACTCCTGACAAAATGAAAATGTTAAAAGACTGTACCAGGGAACACTTGCGAAAACTGCTTGCTTCGATACCTTCTCTCAGCAATATGAATAACGATGACCTTCCATGTTTTTAACCCGCTCTCTTAAATATTAAGTCACCAGCTAGAGCAAAAAGGGTTTCACAGACTGATTCCATCTTTTCCACAAATAACTTTTTATTGTCTAGCTCTAAAGCCCTATATAACAACTCAAGTCCCACATAGTGAAAAAGGTTTGTATGTGGATTTGTTGCTGATCCTCTACCTACAAAAACTTTTTTTGGTCACACTTTACAATAAGGTCTCATTTGTTACCATTAGTTAAACCAGTGCTCAAAGTGGGCCGGTGTTCCGGTGAATTCAGTTCCCGTTTCCCCTTCGGCGCGCATGTGTGAAATCACGACCACATCAGAAACACCCACTTTTGCTATGCAGAGACCTCGTGTTGCCAGACGTACAATAATTATCGTATCTGTACGATAATTTTGACCTCTGTACGATGTACAATCAACAATGGAAAAAAATCCCATAATGTACGATAATTTCAGAATTTCTGAACTTGTTTTTTCCAAAGTCAACCTCATCAAAACAAAGCCACAACATCGGCTCATTACAGACACTCTGAATGGGTTTAAACTGGTAAAGTCCTGGAAAGTCCAAGGATTCAAAAAGTAACCGAATGAGTTCAGACAGAAATAAGTTCAAAACAGTGCTAATGCAGAGAAAACACGGCCGATTTCATCAGAGATGGCGGAGAGAATAGTGACTTACGTTCAGATGGCACAGAATTATTCTTTACAGCGTGTATTTGGCTTAAAAGCAAGAGTGTTTTGTACTGGATGCTGGCTGAAGGTGTTTTATATTATGCGGTGGTCAGAGGTTTAGTGATTCTGAATGGATCCATACAGTTACAGTCAGGTCAAGGCAGGCGCTTTAGTGGTCTTTGGCGTCACCCTGTGGTCCTGTTTGGTATTGCAGCTTCACTTGTGCTATTTTTGATTAAAAGTGCTCTAAACCAGTGGTTTTCAAACCTGTCCTGGAGTTAAACCATTAACTAGCATGAACTAACAATAAATAATATAGTTTTTACAGCATTTATTAACTTTTGTTAATGTTGTTAATTATAATGCCAGTTCACAGTGCATCAATTAATGTTAACAAATACAACTTTTGATCTTAAAAATGTATTATAAATGATTGAGATTAACTATTAATAAATGCTATAGAAGTTTGTTAATTGTTAGTTCATGTTAACTAATATTGACAAATGAAACCTTATTGTAGAGTGTCTCCCTTTTTAATTATTTAAGTGCATTATTAATAAAGGTATGTATAAGTTTTGTTATTTCAAAACATCACATGGACTTGAATGTTGCCATTGTATCTAAAACAGTGCAGTATATCACTGTGTCATTTTGTTATAATCATCTACTGTGAGTGAACAAGTTTCACTGGTAGAGCAAGGTTCAGTCAGAATTCCCACCTTCCTCATTGATTGTATGAATATGGGGTTATAAAATGTGTTCCGTGTATTCATGTAGTTCAAACATGTTCTAACTGGTTTGGTACGTGGTGTGCATTTTCATCTTGACACAGAGCACAGCACAAGACACACCTTGTTTAATGGCTAAACCTGAATGCCTTTCCATGTCTTTTTCACTCATGCAATGATCACTGGATATTCTAAGCTGTTCTTTGCAATTGTTGAAATAAATAATGTTATTGCAAACAAAAGAGAATATTTGTATTTAGTTTATATATATAAAAAAAAAATTCTGTCTGTATTTTCATAGGAGAATTAATAGGAAAGTTGAGGGAGGGAATGGGATCAGAGCATGACTAACATCCTTTGAGTCAATCTGCAAATACAATTTTGACAACTTGTCCAATCTTGTAATTTATGAAAAACGCATTGCCCTGAGAAGCCAGTTTAACCTTTCTGTTAAAATATATGTCCATTACATATCCATCTGAATGTACGCTATAGTGTGGTTTTATTGTGTCCACAAGTTTATCCAACAGCATCATATGACATTTTAATTTGGAGGATAGAATTCATAGAAAGAAAAAAAAGTACTACAGTCACTACAATAGACCCGATAATATGCTTGTAGCCTTTCCCCCATGTTCTCATAAATATCTAGAATTATTAGCTTTATTATATTTTATTTTAACATAACCTTTAAAAAAACATACTGGTCATTTGCCAATATCAAACCAAACACTACACATTGCTGTCTTATATGAACAGAAATCATTTATTTATGTTTGGTTGATGTCTTTGAACATATTCTTCTTTGCTTGGAATAAATAATGTTTTCTGAATGTCGAGAAACATTGTAAAGCTAATGTGGCCATACTTCTCAACAGAACAACAGCATAGCCACAATGGGTGTAGGAGATCGCTTTCTCACCTGTTCAGACAAGCTATGTTTAAGCAACCGCTGACGTCAATGAAATGTTGCATGCGTTGCTGG